GAGGGACAGAAGAAGGTAGGAGTGTGTATGTGTGAATAATATCCTTGTCTTTTATGACAACTACAAAGATTCATGTCAACTTGAATGATGGTCCAAACCACAAGGCTAGGTTCTTTCAGAGGTTGGGAAGAACTTACGCCATGTCCGTTCAAGTTTCCATTGCATAGTTTTTAAAACAAAGAATATCAATAGATAGTTTGAAAAAATATTATGTTGGAAATAGATATTCATTTTTGTGTATCATTGAGACCATATACAATGTCTTACTTGGAGAAAACATTAAAACCATAAATTTAAATATTTCACGATAATGCAATTTTTAAAACTTTTTTAAAGTGTAAAAAAACTTTTTAAGCCTTTTAAAAGTTTTAAAAACCTCTAATAAGACTTTTTAAAACTTTTGTATTCCACCCCCAAAAAAGGTTTCCATGATCAAAACTTGGGGAAACACTTCATTTTGCAACAGCCTCATTGAATATGGCAGTGTACATTGGAATACTAAAGCTTCTAGAAGTCCTACAATATTGAAATCAGTTAAACTTTGCTTATTTCATTGTTTCTCAAACCTAATGGGTCACAATATCATCTTCAAATGTAAAGAAAAGTGGATCAAGCACGCTTTGGGAAGATTGCTCTATGTAATGTTTAATATTTGTGATTTTTTTTTCAGTCTCTTCTGCTATCATGTCACATCTCCCCAACCTATTTCCCTAGCTCTCCCACCTTCACTCTAAAATACAACCCAGAACCAGGCACTACCTGGAACAGTAGGTAATATACATCACGTCAGAGCTGAAGACAGATCTACACAGCTAAACAGAACAGAACAGAGCTGAACCGCTCATTTCCATTCTAGGCTTCCTAGGATACAAGACCAAGTTGTTGCCAATTTAATAAGGCTCCCTTGTTTACTGTGTGGTTTGGTGGTTGTTTATGTTTTATTTTATTTTTTGAAGTGGACATCTTTCCATGAGAAATTTAGCCCTGGCTGAGGAACCAATTAATTTTGCATAAGATGCCGCAGCTCATTAGATGCTAATCTGTTCATTCCTAATCACAGAGTATTGTGTTAGGGTCATGTATGTAACTTCTGCCTCCAGCCCTGTAGATTTATTTGGTGCTTAGTCCCTAGTTCCTGCAGCTGTGTCCTTTCAGTGACTGCTTTATGGTGGCCAAGAGAGCTGAGGTCAGCTGCCAGGACTCTGAGATCTGGAGGAACACATGGATACATTATTCTTTTTCTCTGAAGCTATCCAATTCCTGTTCCGGTCAGATGGGGAGATAGTGGGAGGATATTATGAAGAAGCCTAGCACTTTCTGCTGGTGATAGGGTTCATGTCTGACATTATTGCAAGAAAACAGGCTTCAATCTATACTCAGTGTGTTCTTCACTGGAATGTTATTTACTAACGAAAGTGTAATAACACAAAACCTAATCCTAGCATTATTTGTAAAAAGTGCTAAGGAGTCATTATTTTCTTTACTCAAAGACTACACATTGGGTCCAGTCTGCTTCAAATAAAGAGGTCTGGAAAGACGAGTTACTATGTTAATTGAATACAAATGAGGTTTTTGCTTAAGTTGGCTTTTGTTACAATTATTTGCAACTACATTTCTTTTTACTGTATTTATGTAAAGAAGGAATAGTTAATTCAAAGTTAGCAAGATTCTTACTTCGCCTGAATATTTGGATGAAAATATCTTGCCACTTTTTCATTTGTACTTGCAACATTTGCAGTGTTTTGTTCAGCACTATGGAAAAGCAAAATATCATCACCATTATTACTGGCCTTGGTCCACAGTGGATTTTATCCAGATTCTAACCAGTAACTCTGTGACTAACAATCTGAGTCACTAAGTTTCAGATGTTTATGTATTTCAACACAATTCCCTGGCTAAGAGTTTTTGAAATTTATTTTCACGTTTCAGGATTCAGAAAGAATCAAATGCCCCTCGGAATTGCCAACCTGGTGTCAAGGACTAACTGGCTAGGAACAGCTAGGTAGATAGATTCAGTCACTAAAAGTCAAAGTGTTACCAAACTGTCAGAAGATTAGGATGTACTTCCAGAACAAGATTCTCTAGCCTGGTGGAGAATTCAGTTAATTATAAATATTTGGGTTTTCACCAGGGGATTGGAACAAGATAATTTCAGAATTTAAAATGCAGATGAATGACTCATAATGTAAAGGTGGTAAAGAGAATGCCAGAAAAATGCAAGTTTATTTACTCATTATTAACTTTGCAAAGATGCTCCTCCGGTGAATGTTAGAAAATGAACAGTCTGAGTGAAAATATTTTTATAGAAAATCCCATTATCTTAACAATTTTCACATTGTTCTGTATCCATTCTCTTATTAGTCCCAGATTCTCTTGACTATGATTAGTCACCTTATATCAAATTTTAAAAACAAGTCTGTATTATTTCTACATGGAATAATTTTATAAGCATTTGGTTATATATTTTTCACAGCATTCAGATTAAAAGTAATTTACAGTTTATAGCATTTTCCAAAGGATTCTCTTGGATCTTATCTCATGTTAACCTCATTATCATATGCAGTAGAAAAGAAATGCTTTGCCTCTTCCACCAATGAGGAAATTGACACATAGTACATTGATTTAGCTGCTTAGACTGATTGGCTAAAGTTATATGGATTGTTATTAGAAAAATTGGAAACTTAGTCCAAAGTTATTTCACTATGTTTTGCCTATGAATACTCATAATGTAAGGTTAGGAAGAAAGCCTGGACAGATGAGTTGCTTTTCTTCCATGTTAGTCTTTGCAAATACTACTTGTGATATCAAGTCTTATATTAATCAGACAACACAAAAGGTTATCATAATATACGAAGACAATAAATAAAATGAATTTGATTTTAGAAACTATCTGTTCATCATTCTGTGGTCTTTATAGGGTGTTGTACAAAGGTCTATATAGGATTTTCTTGAATGTGCATTCATGAGATTCCTGTTGTCTTTCAAGCATGTTCAGTTTTTCATTGTGAACCTATTGGGTTTTATGTTTAAATTGATGATCTTTCGGGTGGGGGGTAAAATTTTTTGCACCATCTCCCTCACATCTTCCACCGTGGATGGGCTGGGGCCCAATTGTTGCTTTCTGAGTGTGTGCGTTAGGGATTGAACCCAGGTCCTTGAGCATAATAAACACGTACTCTACCGATGGGCTACATCCCAGGCCTTTAATATATTTTGAAATCTCTTGCCTCCCAATCTGGCCCATACACTCACAGTGGGCCCCTTATGGCTTAGTTTGATATTGAAGCAATGAGAAATGGTATATCTCAGAGTATGGTTCGTGACCCAACCACAGCATATCCTTCTGGTGTCTCTCTGCAGTGCAGAATTCTGAGCCCCCCGAAGATCCTCCACACCTTCACATGGGAGTGAAGTGACCAGTGAAGCTGCAGGTCTTTGAGAGAGAAGAATGACCCTAATGTTTGATTGTCATCTTAATGATGGCACTTTAAGAAATTTCAGTGAAATCGGTTACGAATATTTCCTGGGCCTGGTCTTCAAACAGGAAAATAAAAGATGGTCCTTTATGTATGAGAAAAGAGACAGGAAGGCTGTAAATATAATGTTTCAAAATAAGGACCTTTCACAATGACTGAAACTGTTTACTTGAGCCATAGGAAACTCACCCATTCGTGCAGCCAGTCAACAAGCAAAGAGGGTAATCTCAGGGATCTTTGTACCCTCTTTCTCGCACTACACTGGCTTTTAGGAGAGACTGTAACTGCCAAGGGTACTGAGCACGGCCCGGCTGCCACATTTGAATGATAATATTTTTCCAACCTAGGGAATATGAACTGATTGATAACTATTTTCCCCTCAAACCAGGCACAGTCACCAGTCTTCTTGCCAGCATGTACCAGAATCCAAAGATTTAACATAAATCTTTTGCACTTGATCTTAGCCAAAGGGCCAAGAAAGCAATTTATTTATTTATTTTGTGGTGCTGGGGATGGAACCCTGGGCTTTGTGCTAGGCAAGCCTTCTACCACTGAGTCACATCCTAAGACTAACACAGGTCTTTTGGGGAGTCAAGAAAACTGGGCTCAATTCAGAGCTTTAAACCCAAATCCTACTGTGTGGAGCCTCTGGCAAGATGTCAGAGACTAGGACAATGAATACACATAAAGAGAAAGCAAGACCTGAGAGGACAAAACCCCCCAGGTCTTGGGTTGGGAAAAAGCTGGGATTGGGGGTTGGCTTTAATAATACATTCACAAAACAAGGATTTCTAATCACAGGAGACTTACTGCTTTCCACTGCAACATGAAACAATTAAAATCTGCCCGTGTGTTCTTACCGAAGATAGAGCAGATAAAGAAATTTATAAAAACCCCTTTTGCCCCCTGCCCCGAATGCAGTGACAAGGCCCTATCACGGATATGGTTCAAGGTAAAAAGCCATTGTGTGGTTTTCCCAACTTCTGGCTGGACGGAGAAAGGGTTTGAAATCCACCCCGGGCTACTGTGGGCCCACAGCAATACTTGACGATGCTCTGTGTCGTGGCTCTAGAGATCAGAGCGCCATCAAGATTGGCAGGGAGGAATCAAAGGGATCGCTAGCCCGGGGGTTGGGGACAGCAGGGGATGCTTTCTCTTCCCGTAAAGGCCGAGCCGTTCCGCGGGCTGCCAGCTTCCCCGGGTCCCAGCGGGGCGCGGAGCAGGCGGCGGGGCTCCGGGGCTCACAGACGGCCATGCGGCAGGCGGCGGCCGCCAGGGACGCGCCCCGGGCCTGCGCTCAGGTGGGGCGCGCGCTGCTCCGCAGCTGCTCCCCGCGACCCCGCAGCCGCGGGCTCCGGCTGGGGCTCCGCGCCAGGGGAGGGGGCGCCTCGCCCGAGGCCTGGAGCCGTGCCAGGCGCTGCTTTCCAGCCGGCTGGCCAGGGGCGGGGCGGTCCCCATCCGTGTCCCCACGTCCCATTCCCCACCCTCGCCGCGGCCTCCCGGATCCTTCCTGCGCGCGTCTTTCCTTCCCGCGTTCCCCGAGAGGAACATGGCCGGGAGCAGCGAGGAGGCGCCAGACTACGGGCGAGGCGTCGTGGTAAATGCAAAGTCCCAATTTCGGGAACGAGGCGGCTGCTCCCCTCCCCTCCCTTCTTGGCACCCTCCTTGTCCACGAGATGCGTTCGGGTTCGGGTTCTGCCTCCCCGGCGGACGGGGATTGTTAGCATCCTCAGACCTGGTCCTCCTCTCCCCGCCCCCAATCTGACGATTACCCGGTGTTTCCACTACCCCCGCCTCGTCCCGGGTCCCCAGCCAGGAGCCCACCACTGCCGCCTTACGTCGGGGTCCCCACTTCTGACAGCCACCAGGAGCGACTTTTGTGAGCTGCCCCTCGCCGCCCCTCCCTCCTGCGTGCCGCCTCTCCTATCTGTGCTGCCTCCTGACTGCTTCAGTATGGGCTTTAACTTTTGTCTTTTAAATAAGATACTGAGAATTCTTGAAGGCAGAAGGACATAAAGTAACAAAGTAGATGGAGTTGGAGCTTTGAAGCCTTTGAACTTGGGGTGGGGCTCTGTGCACAAGCACTGGGACAAGCTAGGGGCCCTGGAGTGTCCTATGCCTCCTCTAGAAAGGGAGACAAGTTGGAGAGAATGTGTGTAAAATACTTAAGTGTGTCGGGATGGGGGATGTAGGGGGATGGGAGGGGGCAATTCTTAAACCCTAGCATCCTTCAGATGTCAACCAGAGGGTACCCATCTCTCTGTGTGTTCTGGGATCCGGTCAGAGACCACGGTGATTATGACTGTGTCAGGCTTAGTGTGAAAAGGTGGTGAAACAGTGGATGGGGCTCACTTGCCATTTAGATTCTCTTTCCAGAGCTCAGCATGTAATTCACAGATAATCCATTTATGAAAATGAATGGACTGAATTAGAACGGGGGCGGGGAGGGGGGTTGGGAAAGGAAACAACTCATCTGGAATAGAACTGCTCAGGTTGAAATGTGTGGCTCAGTTCTTAATTTAACAGCAGGATCTTTCCTTAAAGGAGAAAGAGTTCATTTATTAATTCATTCTGTGCGTATTGTCTGTCCTGCTGGGTTCTAGGCCCAGACCAAAGTCAGGGAACAAGATCCACACCCAGTCTTCATGAAACTTGCATACAAAAGGAGATCAAGCAGTATAAAGGCAAATAAATAGATATTTTCAGAATAATGAGTGCCAGGGGAAGAGGGTAACAGGGTAGAAAGTAACTGGAGGACGGCTGGGAAGCAGTGCTTTTGCTCAGGTGATCAGGGTGGTGGCCTGTTTTCAGTGACATTTGAGCCAAGATCTGAAGAATACACAGGAGGTCACCACTTAGGACTCCGAGGCACAGGGCCACATACCAAGTACAGAGAAACCATCACATCTGATTATGCTTTTACAAAATTCACTCTAGTAACCATGAGGAAGATGGACAGGACAGAGGGGAAGGATGAATAAGAGGGGGTGAAAATGTAAAAAGAGAAACAATTAAGTTCAATGCTGGATAAATTAAGACTGTAGGGCCCACAAGTCAGGGCATAGTATAGACAATTTGAAATTCATGTTTAGAATCCAGGAGAGTAATATAACAGATTTGGAAATCATCAGCAGAAAGAGTAATATTTAGTTTTGGAGAATGAGCAAAGATGTCCAATAAAAATGAAAAAAAAAAGAAATAAAAACAACTTTTTAGGATAGCTGCCTGAAACTGGGCATGATGGCTCAGACCTTTAATCCTAGCTTTTGGGGAGACAGAGATACATAGGATCCCAGTTTCAGGGTCAGCCTGGACCAAAATTTCGAGAGACCCCCATCTCAACCAACAAAAGCTGAGTGTGGTGACATATCCTTATTATCCCAGCTATGTGGGAAGCAGAAATAAAAGGATCACAGTCTAGGCCAGCCCAGACATAAACACGAGACCCTATGTAACTAAAGCAAAATGGACTGGGGATATGGATCAAGTGGTAGAGCACCTACCTAGAAAGCACAAGGCCTGGAGAAAAAGCTAGACACCCAGAAAGCCCCAATGTAATAGGCAAACTGAGAGAGAAGCCAGTTAACGAGACCAAGAAGGAAGAGCAGCATGGGAAAAATAAGCAGTGGGTAGGTGCCCAGAGGACACAGTTTTGTGGAAGGGCCTGGGGAGTCATGAGGACAACAAGTGTCAGAGGCTACAAAAGGAACAAGTAGGAGGAGAAAGATGGGAAAGGGGCCATTGTATTTAACAATAACAAAGCAATTAATTGGTTTTAAACAACCATCCCATTAGCAAAATGTTTAAGATATACTGCCACCATATCATGCTGGATGCTCTTGAAAAAGAATGAGGTGAATCTGGATGCACTAATAAGATGACAGGTAGATTATTAATAGCAAGTGAGAGAATAATGTAAATTGTCCAATCTCCATTGGACAGAGGCCAACGTCAACAGAGGCCATCTTAGAAGCAAGGTCATTTTGTGAATTGTGAGAGGCGTATAAGGAGAGGAGGAACCGCACCAGCTAGGGTGGGGCTTGGGCACGACACGTAGTTGCTAAACTGTACGAGGGTCCACCGATGTTGGCAATAACTCATGAATGATGATATGGGCCCACATTTATGTCATTTTCTCCAATAGAAACTGGGACCATCAGATTAACCTCAAGTTGGATATAAAAGGCAAGTCAAGTTCGGAGAGTTGAAGGTGCTGATGGAGGGAAGCTCATGCCATATAGGGTTGAGAACGAAAGAAAAGCTGGAGAGGATAAGTATACTGGAAAAAATAGAAACCCCTTAGAAAGAGATGCAAAAAAAATCAAAGGGAAATTTTAGTACCAGTTTTTAGAAAAAAGGGGAGGGGACAGGTGATAATAAGCAAGCATTTATTGAGCACTTCCATGGGCTTTTACTGTGAGGTAGGTGTACTATACTCCCCATTTTACAGAAGCAGAAACCAAGGCATGGACAGACCATGTAGACCAGCAATTTACATATCTATGATAGTCACATAAGTAGCAAATGGCAGAAGCAGAATTTGAACCAGTTTTTGAACACTCCCCTCCATAGATAGCTGTGATTCCTGCAAGGAATCCCACAGATGGGGCTGCTCAGAGGACTGGTGTGGTTATGTGATGTGTTGCTGAGTATTAAGATGAAGTAATTTAACATAAGACAGGTAACGGAGCTACAGGAAAGAATAGTTGGAATGATTATCAAGGTGAGGATTGAAGTGTATCGCCACAGAGTTGTCCAGAAGTGACGCAGAAAAGAAAATTCTGAATTGGCAGAAACTTGGGGATGTCTGAGAATTAGAGCCAGATGGTGGAAACATGACAAGAAAAGTATAATTTATTTAAGAGAAAGGAAGATCAAAAGATTTAAAAATTATTCTTGCCTACAAGTGGCTTACAGTTGAATTGGCAGGAAGGGCATTAGTGGTATAGCATATACTAATTGCCAAATAAGAGATGTGGACCCCGAGTTCAGAAATTTTGTTCAGAGTTGGTTGTCATTTGATCTGGAGCTAGGAAGATCATCAGACTCCTGGTTGGTGACTCTTTGTTATTTCTCAGAGACAAGATTTCTGCCCACATGGGCTATTTTGGAGTCAGGTTATTAGATGTTGTTTCCCTGTTTGGTTTGATTTTTTTTTTACTAAAGCATTATCAAAAGAGCCATAGTTGATGTCTACACAAGTGAGTTTGGTACAAATAAAAATAGGAAAATCTACAATGACATGTGTTTCTGTTATGGTTGACTCTTCCCTTCCCCCAATCCATCCTTACTCTCATGGGGTTAGTGTGGCAGAGTCAGGGAGAGAGGCAAGTAATCAGGTAGGCTTCCATCTAAGAGACAGCTTTACTTTGTCACAGTGAGTTTTATGTTCTGGGGGCAGAATCCACTGCAGAAAAGGAAGGCATCTGGGAAACAAGGTGTTATGTGGTCTGTCAAGCTCCCATTGCTCCTTTGGTAGCAGAACCTGGGGCCTGCTTTGAGCATTGCTTCTATCAATTGTTCTAAACCTGTGGTTGAGGTGGGCTCTGGATCTGGGCCTGTTGATGTTCCTGGCTGCAATTCTTAATGAGACTTCCTTCCTCTTTGCTGATAGAGGGAGGGACAAACATGAGCCTGAAAACCAGTGACAATGCCTTGCAGGGGAGTATGGGACCAAGTGTGTGGAGCTCAGAGTGGACAGAAGCAGAAATTAGCTGCTTATATGTTTCCAAACTATTATTCTCCCTTAAGGATAAAACTACAAGAAATAGTCTCAACAAGAAAAAAAATTTGTAATGACTTGTAATGACTTCAATATATCTTCAAATGAGAACGAGAGTCAGAATTAGTTCTGGGATTTGGATGCTGTATAAAATGACTCAGTTAATGTGTTTGTCACTTTCCTAGCTTGGCCTCTTTGAACAGAGAGAGCATTGTGCTGAATACATTTAGAGCATATTATCTGTAATACTGAAACTATTTCAAGATGTGAGTTTTTTCAAAAACAGCTGAATAGCATAATTATCTAAGGTTCAGAGCAAACTCCATTTCTCCAGGTTTAGACTTATTTACACCCACCATTAAAGATAGCAAAGCCTAAACCAGTAGACCCTATCTTTTATCTCAGCAATGAAAGCACTATTTCAGATTAATTGGAAATAATGGCCAATTGGGATTACATAATCCTATCAGAAAAGTATATTTCTTCCACTTTTAAATTTACAGCTTTAACTGGGATAATAAGACTGGCAAGTAGCTTTGAGGTACTTCTTTAAATGACTTAAAACATAATTTATATAAGGGATTAAGTAAATTATATAAATGATTGATGGTTCAATACATTTAAGTGGTTAACATTTAACATGCTGATATGAGTCTTATTTTATAGTAACCATATGAGGCAGGCATTGGCTTCATTTGTATAGATGAATGCGTTGAGACTTGGAGTTTACACCCAAGGTCTCAGGGCTAACATATTTGTCCCATGCGCCAGACTTTTAAGTCTATGCTATTGACCAGTCATTACTCCATGTTGCCTCTCAGCTATGGATTGCCATTACAGTTTTATGTTTAGGTTTGATTTGTCATTTTCTTATCATCTTTTCTCTTTCCTTGGCATTCTTTTCTCATTTTGGGCATCATTTGTTAGGTATTTAGTTTGCTCATGTCTATGTGCTAGTTATTCTGTGTACATTATCTGTTATATTTCATTTAGTCTTCCCTGTTCATAGGTTTTATTGTGTCTTACTTGAATGAGGGGGAAACCATGTCTCAGAGAGAATAAGCGATTTCTCTAATTTCATGGCAGTAAGGTTCAGAACTCTTGAACTTGAAGTAGAGAGTAGTCTCTGAGATTCAATCAAAGCAAAAGGCAGTAAAGGATTTGCATGCTGGGAGGAATACGTTCAGAAGGACACTGGTAGGGCTGGGGGGAGAAGTGGGTGTAGCTCAAGTGGTAGAGTACCTGCCTAGCAAGTGCAAGGCTGTGAATTCAAACCCCAGTACCACCACCACCAGAAAAAAAACCAAAAACCAAAAACAGATGAGCCACTGTTGCCACAAATGGAAGAGTTCTAGGAAGTGGAGTGGGTAGTGTGTGTGGTCCAGAAGGAGAGCCAGAAAGTGCTTGAGTGATCTCCCTGGAGCCTGGTGCTCACCATGGTTCTTGGACAGCCTTTACTGTGGTCAACCAGAGGCTGGAGTTCTCTCAGATACAGCTGTTAGGCAAGGCTCTGACCAGTCACTGTGGTGTTAGAGGTTACAGCATGCCCAAGGAATTCTCAGGGTAGAAACCAGAGTTGCTTTGTACAAATTCACCAGTCCCACCACTAATTTGCTTTGCTGGAGGAGGTAGAGCAAATGTGATACTTTTCAAATATGCAGATGGCACACACCCTTTGGCCATTTGTCTGATAATGGATATGATAGCTATGACTCTCCAGAGCCTTGGACATGGTGCTCTTTGTCACAAGGAAGCAAACTGGGAGTTGAGGCTGGAATTGAGATAGTTGGCAGTGTATGGGTGGAGAGTATATCATTCATTCATTCATTGAACATTTTTGAGCACTTACCTTAGTCCAGGTCCATAATCTGGGCACTGGGAATTCAACAATGAATAATATAAAAATCTCTACCAGAAATCAGAGAAGGCCACTCTGTGGAGATAACAATGAATGAAGACTTGAAAGAGGGAGAGGACAAGCCAAGTGGCCATCTAGGGGAAGAATGTTGTAGGCAAAAGAAATCACAGGTACACAGCTCATGCTTGGCAGATTCAAGGAGCAGCAAGGAGAACGATGGTTGAGGGAGGGAGGAAGAAAGTGCCAGAGGATACATCAGAGAGGCAGACCCTTGTGGACCATGGTGAAGACTCTAGATTTTACTCAGAGTGAAATGAGAAGTCCTTGAAAAAACCTGAGTAGAAGGCTTCCATGATATGATGTACATTTTCCAAAGAGCCCTGTGGAGGGATGCAAAAGTGGAAGAAGGGGGATAAGTTTAGCAGCTCCTGCACTAGTCTGGGAACAAATGATGGTGGCATGGACCAGGATGGAGGTGGAGAGACAGCAGTGGAGTTGAGGAGAGGAGGGGTGGTCCTGCTTAAATTGGGGAGGAATTGAAGATAGGACGAGCTAACGAGTTGTGAGGGGGACTTAAGAAAGGAATCAGGGACAATGTCAAGGTTTTTGCTAAACAACTGGGAGAATGAGTTGCCCTGGCCTGAGATAGGAAGGAGATAAAATTTGAGGACAAATAACATTCGTTTGGTTTGACTGGCTTTCCAGAACCTAGAACTGGGATGGGAGTGAGTAGGGACTAGACCTTATGCCCACCTCCAACACCTATATAAAGGGGAGCTGTTTTTGAGTCATGTGTGTAGAGGGGTGTGGAAAGCAAGGGAACGTCCCAGCACTAACTGGAGCTTGAGTGGGTTCTTAAACAGTCAGCAAACAGATAAGACAGAATGAAGAGGAAGATGGAAGGGCAGCAGTGTCCTCAAGAAGCATGAGTGGCAACCTTTGTTAGAACAGACAGCTACAAGGAATTTGAGGAAGAAGATCGGGGGTGGGAGCATTAAGAAGTGGGACCTTACCTGAGATTCTGAGGAGTGAGATAAGCTTAAATACAAAGGTAGAGGGGTAAAGGAAGGAAAAGGGTACACGAGGCTACAAGGTACAAGAAAGATGAATGAAACCAGAGCTGCTGTTTTTTGTGACTTGACTGGAAACCAATTCAAGGGCAGCAAGAAGGTATAGGGAGTTAGGATGGAAAATTAGCATGGTTCTGCTTTGTAAGAGACCTTGACATCTTAAAAGCTGAACAGGCTAGCCTGGTCAAAGAGTGCAGGAGTGATTAAAGACCAGGAAGCTAGTTCAAGTATATAACACTTTCAGTATTGCATCTTTTTTTCTTTGTTTGTTTTGGTGGTACTGGGGATTGAACTCAGGCCTCATGCTTGCTAGGGAAGCCTTCCACCACTTGAGTCATGTCCCAATTCTTTTGCTTTTAACTTGTTTTTCAGATAGTCTCATGCTTTTTTGCTGGACCATGATCCTCCTACCTCCTATCCTCAGTAGCTGGGATTACATGTGTGAACCACCACATCCAGCTTGTTATTGAAATAGGCTCTCAAAAACAAGCTGGCTTCAAACCACGACCCTCCTATCTCCACCTTCCAAGTAGCTGGGGTTACAGATGAACCACCATGCCTGGCTCTTTTGCATCTTTCTCTTGATGATCGAAAGTAAAAGTAACTTTACTTTCATCTTCACTTTCTCCCCACCTTGTCATTATTCTAACCACGAAACTTGCACATTGAGTCCTAAGCAAGAGAAAGACTTGCTATCAGTCTATCTGCTCTATGAATAGGCCAACTTTCTGCACCATCATTTTCTTAAGTGGACTGGCTTAAGCTCCCACCATAGGACATCCTTTTAAAGTCTTTACTGTACTGACTGGACCACTCAAAATTTGGTCTGCTCAAATGCTGAGAGATACATATTTTTCATAAGTAAACTTTCCAGACCGATGAGGCATTTACAATGAATAGAAAAGTAATTTTATGTATAATGATATAAAATGTACAATATGACACTGCATAGATTATACAATTCTGTTATATATTCATAATATGTTTATAGATTGGATATAAATTATATGTTTGCACATATATACTATTTTATATGGTGCTGGAGGTTGAACCCAGGCTTCACACATGTTAGGAAAATGCTTTATCATTGAGCTATACCATCAGCCCTTAACACTCTTATAAATAATACTACCAGGTCAGTTAAAAGATGCTGAGTTTATATTTTTCTTATATGCTACCAATAGTTGAGAATGGAGCAGTCATTTTAGTACTAAGTCTTTTGAGAGGTTGTAGCAAACAAATAACCTTGCTCCCCTGAGTTTTTCACAAGTTGAGAGAATATAACAATGCACTGTTAAGATCTATAGACCTTTTCTCTATATTCACTATTATTCTGTTTTTTTCAAATGATACTTGTTGGTTATGTTTTAAAAGTAAACTTCCAATGAAAAATACCATAATTAAAATAATTTGATTTACAGATAATGGACAATTGGCCAGGATATGACTTGAATTTATTCACATACCCACAGCACTATTATGGAGATTTGCAATCTGTGCTCATACCTCATGGCATCATTGTGGACAGGTGAGTGTTATTTCCTGTGTTAAGTCTTGTCCCTAAATTAAGCTGACCAACTCTTGTGTGAATCCTATAATAGATATGAGGACCTTATTACTGAGTCCCTCTTCTTAGTGGTAAAAAGACATTTAATAGGCAGCAAATTTAGAATACAATAAATGTATGCTTTATCTGAATGATATACCTGGACATTTGTTCTGGAGAGAATGGTAAGAAAGCTATGCATAAGTAAGCTATGTAAGTAACAGCCTCAGAATAACTATGTCCTATACAAAAGGATGAAAATGGGTGTTGGGAAGGCCTTGCATTTCACCCCAAAACCCTTGTCTCATGCCTTTCACAGACTGTCCAGTTAACCAGGGAATCAAGAGGTGACCTTTGTCTTCACAAGACATACCCTTTGAGTCCTCACTTTCAGTGCAACTTTCATTTCTCATGGTTTAGCTAGTCTGTGTACAATTATAATTTCTGGCCAGTGGCAATATTTTGAGAATAACGGTACTTGCAGCTTAAAATTCTGCAGAGAGCTCTTTCTTACATACTGTTTCTAGTTTTTTCCTTCCTTTCCACATAGACATTCTCTGGCTTCTTTCTAGCTGACTGGTTTTCCCAAAGACATTTTCTCTCCCATTTCAAGATCCTGTGTTATTTCAATGTACTCTTGGTTTTCAAAGACCACCTGTAATTCAGCCCACCACGAGCATCAGTATTTATGGGTTGTACCCTTTTAACAAAACTGCCTTACTATCAAGACTGCTCAGGTATTTCTCAGTTCCCAGACAAAGGTTGAATACTTAAGCCTGTACATTTATAGGGAAAGCAAAATTCCTGGTGTTTACAATGTACCATCTGGAATCCTAGAAATTCCTCAGAGGTCCTAGAATTCAGAATGGAATTCATAATCTATAGTACTTCTACCTCTATTGTTTTTAAAGCTGTTATAGTCTTTTGAGTTAATATTTAACTTCATGAACTAAGTCCTCAGAGCAAAAGAAAGTTCAAAAATCTCTAACTAGTCACTCTTCCCAAGATATTATCTTTCCATTAATCGCTGTCAATAAGCAAAAAGAACTGTCATTCTTTCATCCACATTCTAAGATTTTCCATTGCATAGATGTGTATATTGCTTGTTCTCTGAATTTATAGTGTATTATTAAAGTAAGTTCTAGTCTGGGGTTTCTCATGGCCTCAGGTGGATTTTACATAGAATAGAAACCTGATATTCAGAGGGGAAAAAAGTTCCATGGTCAAATATACTTGGGAAATTGTGCATTTTTAAATTGCTAAATCTAGCAGTTGGCAATTCAAAACAAATATTTTGTTTTGAATTCTGGCAAAAAAAAAGGAGAGGGGGTGGAAATGCTTGACTTATAAAGAAACAGCTTTCTCTGTGCAGAGGGAGACTTTGCATTGTCCATAACTCTCAGACGAGACTTCCCTTAACACCAGTTTGGGAGGTCCCTAGTTTAAACAGCCTGATTTCTTACCGGAATTTTGTGGCTTCAGTTCGTTGAATCTTGACTTAATACACAATTGAGTCCAGGGTAACCTGATCCTAGGCTTCTTCCCTGTACAGGAGAATTGCAGTTAACTTGAGTGTATATTCCTAACCTTGAGGTCTGAAAAATTTTGAGTCAATAGCTAAGGTGAGCCTCAGGAATACCCATCCTCACCTTTAAAACAAACATTAAGATATATTTACATATTACAACATTTACCTATTATTGGTAAATGACTCAATGATTTTAATACATTTTCATGCTTGGGCAATCATCCCTACAATCCAGTTTTACAATTCTATTGTACTAAAAATTTTGTTTGCGGTTAACTCCTGGCGCCTGCCCCGACCTCCACCCCCACCCCCAGTTTGTGGTCACTAATCTACTTTCTTTCCCTATAAATTTGTTTTTCTGGACATTTCATTAAAATAAAAATCATACAATATTTAATTATTCATTCACCAGTTGGCTGGACATTTGTATATCTAAATTTGACTATTGAGAACAATGCTTCTGTGAACCTTCCCATGTAAGTCTTTGTATGGACATCTCTTTTCATTCTTCCTGGATAGATTCCTTGGAGTAGAATTCTGGGCATCCTGGTAAATTTAAGAAATTGTAGATTGTTCTCCAAAAGGACTGCACCATTTTCCATTCCCACCAGCAGTACATGAGGTTCTAGTGTCTCCACCAAATAGCCACCATTTTATATGGTCTGTCCTTTGAGTTATAGCCATTCTAGTGGATGCATGATATCTCATTGTGATTTTAATTTACGTTTTCTGAGTCATTAGTGTGCTCATTAGCTATTAATTTATCTTTTTTGATAGATGTTTATTCAAGTCCTTTGCCAATTTCTAATTTGGTATTTTTCTTCTTATCGAATTTTAAGAGTTTTTAAAAGTATATTTGCATACAAGTCCTTTATCAAATATGTGATTTGCAAACATTTTCTCCCAGCGTATGACTTGTCTTTTTCACTGGTATCTTTTGAGATTATGTGTATTCTCTTGCTGGATGAAGTATTCTATTCATGTCAATTAGATCCAGTTTATCGATGGTGTTGCTGATTTTCTGGCTGTTGGATCTGACAGTTACTGGCAGAAGGAATATTGAAGTCTCCAGATGCAATATTGGGTTTGTCTATTTCTCCTTGCAGTTCTATCACGTTTTGGCACTTTGCTGTTAGGAGCATAACGATAAGGATTGTTATATTGTTGTGGGGGAATTGGCCTCTTTATCATTTTGTAATACTCTTGTACTTTATCCCTGAAAACTTTCCTTGCAGTGAAGTCTACCCTGCCTAAAATGAAGTAGCTACTCCAGCTTACTTTTGATTTGTATTAGCATGGCATGTTTTCTCCATCTTTCTACTTTTAATTTATCTGTGTCTTTGCATTTAAAGTGATTCTCTTGTAATCTCTTGACACTTTATCTTTTTCTGGTGTCACTGGGGTTTGAACTCAGGGCCTCACACTTGCTAGGCAGGCACTTTACCACTTAAGCCACTCCACCAGCTTCTTTATCTTTTAATTGGTGTATTGAAACATATGAATTTGGAGTGATTATAGTTGTCCTTATATCTTTTTTTTAAGGAGCATGTGACATATGACATCTAGTCTGTTGTACTTTTCTGGTTTTGATAAACAAATTTTGAGGAACATTACCTAAAATCATGACTACCATTCTATATGTATATGTATATATTTATATACGCAAGATTTAAAATATATTATGTAATATGTAGAATACATGTAGCATTTATATAATATGTTTATAGAAAACTTGTAATATACATCAATGTGTAGAATACATGTACCATTATATTTACATGTATAATTCAGTGTTATATAGACATTATATAAATGTACATGTATACATGTATATATATATTTCAATTTAATTATATTATAAATTAAATTATATTTAATTTAAATATATATTTTATATATTCAATTTAATTATATATAATTAAATTAAATTAAGTTATATATATAATTTAATTAATTATATGCCAGTTAGGATTTTTTTTTAAGTATGCTCCTTAGATCCTGCCCCCATTTAAAGTTTTAATGTTATATGGTGAATGGGCAATGGATTTACAGACTTGGAACAACTAGAAATAAATACAAGGACAGTTTCACAGTCTATGGCTGCTGTACATTGCACAACTCCAGGGGGCATCTCTTACATTGTGTGCCACAGAAACCCTGCCTCCTACAAATTGTACTCTGGGGCACTTTTCATGTATGCAACGTGCTACCTTGGTCGAATATAAGACATATTATTCCTTTGACAGTTTCACTGTCCATTTCCTTCCTCTCTGCTATAAAGTGAGCATGCCACCAAATGCCATCATAACGTTGTTGAGGTTAACAACTAGGTACTGTAATGAGAAAACAATAGATAACATGCATGCTCTTTGACGGTGTATTTTATGTTTCAATTTTTATGACATACAGGAACAAGGATATAGCATTGTGAAGTAGCTATCCTGAAGTATTTTGGACACTCTCTCTGTGTCCAGCCTAAACAAAACTTTTCCGCTTGTTGGTTTCTGTTTCCTAAGCTTTTCTCCTTATCCACATGCTAATCTAACATGTATAATGCATCTTATGTTTTTATTATAGGAGCAAAAGTACTCGGAAGTAGTTGTTCTTTAATATGTCTTGTACCCCTTACTTCTTTCAGAATTGAGCGCTTGGCTAAGGATATAATGAAAGACATAGGATACTGTGACATTATGGTCCTGTGTGTGCTTAAAGGAGGGTACAAATTCTGTGCTGATCTTGTAGAACACCTGAAGAACATCAGCCGAAATTCAGATCGATTTGTCTCTATGAAGGTTGATTTCATCAGACTAAAAAGTTACAAAGTAAGTTATCACATGTTCATTTTAACTATGCAATGTTTAGAATTCACAATGTGTTAGTAAAAAAGAACTAACAAAGTTATGAAAATGAAGGGTCTGCTTTTAAAAAATTGAAATGAAAATGAAGAGGGTAATTTAAAAAAATTTTGCAAGAATCCTACATCCTACTATAAGAATTCAAAAGTATTCTTTGGAGGAAGAAAAAGAAATCTCTGTTTTCAGATATATGGAAAGACTCTTTAGGAATGATTCATGCATTCTTTTATGATGAGGAAGTTGTGTGGTTATTTCCTGGTGCCCAGCCTCACAAATGAGTATGGTCCATGTTAAGGGAGTCCAGTGAACAGGGATGTACTTCTACCCTGGATATCGCTCTTGGTCCTGGACACGTGTGGGAGGCTTCCAGTCCAGACTACTTGAGTGTCTGTAGTCATGGCCCGGAAGTAGAGAAGGGAAGCCATAGGGCCAGTACATCTTCCAGTGTGAGGAGACCAGATTAGAAAGCCTCCAACAGAAGTTCTTCTACCAGGTTATGGTGGGCTTTCTGTGGCCATCTCTGGACAGAATTGATAGCAATTATTTTTCAAAAACATGGTCCCCTTAGTAATCATCTCTTACCTCTATGATGCTAACTCGTATGATGTTTTTTGATTCAATGGATACAAAATCATTAAAGCTAATTTACTATTCATTGAAGAACTCATGGGGTCAAAACCATGAAAATATTCTCACTGACTAAACTAGCTTAACACATTGAATTGGCTTTTGATTGGTCATTACAAAATCACCACAAACTTAATGGTTTAAACCAACACAACAGGTTTATTATCTTAGTTTCGTGGGTCAGAAATTTGCATGTGTTACAGGTGAGTTCTCTGCTTGGAGTCTCACTATACTGAGATGAGAAAGGTAGTTCAGGTTTTGATCAGCTAAGGTTTGGGGCCTTTCCCAAGAATCCTGATTGTTGTCAGAATTCAGCCCCCATTTCCTGTTTGTAAGCTGGTACCCCGTCTCTGCTTCTAGAGGTCACCCTCAGGTCTTTGTATCATGAACTTTTCCTCAGGCAGTTGAACACAGTTGTAGTAGTTTATGCATCTCAAGCCCTGTGGGAGAATCTCATTAAGGATGGGCCCAGCCCTTCTACAGCTCACCTCATGAAGTCATGTTTGCCTCGGATAATCCCTCTTTTGATGAACTCAGCGTCAACTGACTAGTTAGCTAATCTCAAGAGAATTTACTCCTGCCACATGTACAAGGTTCACTCACACTCCAGAGGAGGGGACTATTTAGGACACATGTACAGGGCAGCAATCTTGAGAACCGTTTTAGGATTCTGCCTGCCACCCTCTTCACATGACTCAGTTGCCTGAGGTCTAGAGCAGCCGAACATTACTTCTCATTTCTTAAGAAACATACTGTGTGTTTCCTGATGATCTCTCAGGCTAGGGTGAGGTTGGTTTTTTGTTTGTTTGCAAACACCTTAACCCTAGCTCATTGGTTTTATCCTCTTTTTTTTTTTAAAGTAGAATTTTTTTTTTTCTCAGTACTGGAGTTTGAACTCAGGGCCTATACCTTGAACCACTCTACCAGTCCTCTTCTTTGTGATGAGTATTTTCAAGATAAGGTCTCCAAACTATTTGCCCAAGTTGGCGTTGAACCTTGACCCTCTTGATCTCTGCCTCCTGAGTAGCTAGGATTATAGGCATGAGCCACCAGCACCCAGCTGCATTTTATTTTTTATTAGTGTATGTTAGTTACACAAAGGGATTTTATTGTGATATCTCAATACATGAATATAATGTACCTTGACCAAATTCTCCCCCTCAGTTTCATCTTGAAAATGTTTTCTGTCTTTAGGTTCCTTTCACCTTGGATTAAGTATGAATGAACAAGATTTTTGCCACTCATTTGTCTGTGATCCTCACTGTATTCATTCCAGCTCTTAAAAACACCTTTTTAAAGCTGGGCATAGTGGTTTACACCTATAATCACAGCTGCTCAGGGAGCAGAGATCAGGAGGGTTGAGTTTAAGGCCAGCCCAGCCAAAAAGTTAACAAGAGTCCATCTCAAACAATAAACTGGGTATGATGGTGCATGTCTGAAATCCCGAGGACCATGCCAGGCTGGCCTAGGCAAAACCTGTGAGATTCTATCCTAACAATAACTAGAAGCATAAAGAGCTGGGTGAGACTTAAGCAGTAGATCACCTGCCTAGCAAGTGGGAGGCTCTGAGTTCAACCTCCACTACTGTTAGAAAAAAAGAAAAAGAAAAAGAAGAAAGAAACTGCCAAACTGTTTCCCAAAGCGATTGAATACTTTTGTGAGAGTTTCAGTTGCTCCATATTTTCACAGCATTTCATATTGTCAGTTTTTCTTCATGTTTTCCTTTTTGAAGAGCTGATAGTACCACACTATGATTTTAATTTGCATGGTTTTGTGAATAATGACATTGCAATATTTTCATATGATTATCAGCTACTCATACAGGCTTTGATGAAGCATTTGATCGAATATCTTGTCCATTTCTAAAAGTGGGTAGTTTGCTTTACCTACTATCGAGTTTTGAAAATTCTTTACATATTTGGGCTGTGTATCCTTTACTAGATATATGTGTTTTAAATATATTCTCCAGTCAGTGAGTTGGTTTTTTTTTCATTTTCCTAACAGCATTTTTTTAAAGAGCGTAATTTAATTTGATTAACTCTATATGTTTACATGTGTCTATTTCTAGACAGTCTATCAGGTCTGTTCATCTAGTTTGTCAAGTCACAAATCACACTGTTTTATTTATTCTAACTTTGTAAAGAGCTTGGAAATCAGGTATATTGTATCCTCCAACTTTGCTTTTCTTTTTAAGAACTGCTTCAGCTTATTCTTGTTCTTTACCTTTCTGAACAAATTTTAAAATCATGTTGTTTTCTACAAAACATTTTTATTAGTGTTGTTTAGAATCTATAGCTCAATCTGGGGAGAAGTGACATCTTAGCACTATTTTTTCTTCCATTCCCTGATCAGGGCACTGATTCTATTTAATTTCACTGTTTTCTAGTTTTCAAGAGTCATACCTTAGACATATAAGGTTAGGTTTTTACTTCAATATTTACTATTTTTGAGTCATACTATGTCAAGGAGGTTTTTCTTTGAAGTTGATTTCCAATTATTTATGAATAGTCTATAGAAGTAGCATTGATTTTATATATTGAACCCTATGATTATTTTGAAATTCATTAATTCTAACAGCTTTCTTATAGATTTTTTAAAAATTTTCTATGAAGGTAATCATTTCTTCTGTGAACAGAGGTAATTTTATGTCTTTTTTTCCTAATTCATATACTTTCCTCTTTCTTTTCTTATTGCATTGGCTGAACAGTACTCAATAGGAATGATGAAAGAAAACATCCTTTCCTTCAATTGGTGTGGTATTGACTATTGGTTTCTTTAAGATATTCTTTATAAGATTAAGGAAGTTCCTTTTATTCCTGGTTTGCTAAGAGATTTTTAAAAATCATGTGTGACTGTTATCAGATACCTTTCTTGGATCTATTGATATGGTGAATGACATTGGCTGGTTTTTCTAATGTTGAGTTATCTTTCCATTTGATCATGATATGTTATTCTTTTCATACATTGCTGGGCTCAGTTTGCTAATATTTTTTGATTTTTTTTTTCCCAGTGCTGGGGCTTGAACTCAGGGCCTACACCTTGAGACACTCCACCAGCCCTTTTTTGTGATGGGCTTTTTCCAGAGAGGGTCTTGCAAACTGTTTACTTGGGCTGGCTTTGAATGGCAATCCTCTGGATCTCTGCCTCCTGAGTGAGTAGCTAGGATTACAGGCGTGAGCCATTGGCGCCTGGCTTTTTTTGAGGTTTCTGCATTTACATTCATGAAGGATCATAAACCATAGTTTTCTTTTTCTATAATGCCTTTTCTGGTTCTGCTGTTAGGATTATGTTGGTTTCATGAAATGAATTGGGAAGTATTTCCTTTTTGTCTCTTTTCAGAAGAATTTATATAGAATTAGTACTGATTCTTTCTTGAGTATTTGGTAGAATACTTCAGCATAACCATTGGACCTGGAATTTTCTTTGTCAAAAAGGTTTTGTTTTTAAGATATGGTCTTTATTAGGACCAGACTGGCTTGAACTCACTATGTAGCCCAGGTTAACTTCAAACATGTGGTCCTATGCCTCTACCTTCTGAGTGCTGGGGTTACAGTGTGCAGCACCAGTCTCAGTCTGTTAGGTTTTAACTACAAATTCAGTTTCTATGAACTGGTTCAGGAGTATTTCATCTTGAATAAGTTTTATTAGTTTGTGTCTTTTAAGACATTTGTCCATTTTATCTAAGTTTTCACATTTTGGGGCATGGAGTTGCTTATTGTATTTCCATATTATCTTTAAATGTCCTGATTATTAAATTGTACCTTCCATCTTTTGCTTTTTTTTCAGTGTGCCCAGAGACTTGTCAATTGTTTCCCTTGTTTCAAAAAACCAGTTTATTATACTTTCCTCAATTTTCTCAATTGCCTTACTGTTTTCAGTTCCATCATTTATGCTTTTGTCTTTCTCATTTCCTTCCTTCTGTATGCTTTAGGGTTAATTGGCTTTTATTTTTTCAAATGGAAGTTTAGTTCACAGGTTTGACACCTTTCTTGTTTTCTAACACAAATGTAATAATGTAAATTTTTCTTAGCTACAGTCCACATATTTTGATATATGTTTTTAACTTTTAGTTATTTTGGAATTTCTCCTGTGCCTTCCCCTTTCACTCATTGCTTATTTCATGTTGTTTAATTTTCAAATATTTGAGAATTTTCAAGAGATCTCTGCATAATTTCTAGTTTAGCTCTGCTGCAGAAACTATGCTTTGTAAGATCTCAGTCCTCTTTCTTGAGGCTTAGTATATGCCCTGGCTGGAGCTGATTATCCTGAAACCAACAGCATTGCACGCCATGTCACTTTTATTAAACATGTTGCTCACTTCCTAATTTCTCAGACCTTCT